CTTAAGAATACTAAGTTGCATTTTAGCAAGGCTGAGAGCATGAGAAAAACAACTAGAACAGGGAATATTACACAAGAAAAATAGCGAATATTATAGGACCGTACTGTGAACTTAAACGAGATGCGCTTAAAACAAGAAAACTCGGATCGTTAACTTAGGGATTTTGGAGCCATCATTGAAGAATCCTCCACAAGCATAATCAGCTGAGAGGTTACCATCAGTTAGAAGAAGATGAGAAACCTATAATTTGCTGAGCAAAACTGAGGATGAGCATGTTGATGATCGAAAAATAACATTTTGTTGGATATTCATTGCTTCAATGACATTTTCAGGAGTATTGAAGTGAAAATCACAGTCCGACAACGGTTCAGAAGCGTTGCCTCTGGTATAGCCCTGGCATCATTTGAAAGAGTTTAATGGACGTGAGACGAGCGAATCTCGACGGGAGTCGAACATGAAATGAGTGCGTGACGCGAGATTTTCGCACAAAAATACCCGACAACTGGAAAGCGAGTTGACTCGATATGAGAGATAATGAAGCAATTATTTTCGGGATTTATAAGTACAAATCTGTTATAATACGAGTTTGCGCTTGGAAAGTATTTTTGCTACTCATTAAATCGCTCATAATTTGCGCGTTTCACTCATAAAACGTCGTTCGTAACATGAAATTTAGATTGGACGAACTGAATCACTGCAACGAATGCATATCATGCAAAAACTACATGTTTGCAAAATAATCTGAATTGGAGTGCAGAAAAAAATCGTTGAGCTTGGATCGGGACATTGATCGGGCAGGTTCCCGTGGATAAAAGTATTGTTGTATTACGGTTCAAGCAGATTTTCGTGCAAAAAAATCCACTTGCATGAAACATCGCAGATTACAATGTGCCACTCACCATGACTAACTGGCTCGGCCACTAATTATGAGGATCATCATAAGGAGCACTGGAATTTTTCAAGCAATCAAATGAAATCATTTTCAATTACCGGTTCAATGATCTGCCATTCGATCTCCACTGAATGCTAGATTCCATGAAAGAGGTGACTCAAATGAAAGCGATACTCTCGGTACTGGGCAGATATGATATGAGACTGCTATTCACATGATTTTCCCAACCTCTTTTAAATATTTGAAAATGATAAGAAAAGAAACGAAATTTGCATGAGAAAAAAATGCGAGGATCCTCACTAGAAAAGGATCAAATCGATTAGTTTTCAAATTTTCGGTCATCATTCGACAACTGAAATGCAACGCATTCTTTCACAATTAATATGCAGAATTCCACTGCAGATTTCGTCAAAATTTTGTCACGTTTGTTATTGTGGTTGTTATCATTTTAATAGCTTAACACAATTTGAGGTAGTCGGTTCGATTATCGCACCAGAAATAGAATCATTTTCGTTGGTCTTTGCGGATATATCTTGTGAAGTTGTTCCCCATATGAAGAATTTGGGATTTTTTTTAGGGGGGGGGGAAGCGATCCACTACGATAGATTTTTAAGTTACTCTTTAAATGCAATTAAAGCCTTTGTTCAGAATGGCAAGACGGACGTCATCGAACGAACAGAACATTTATGGCGAAAATTTGAGTGATAATGAGGAACCGTCAAGTAACAGTGATGAGATACGTCGCCTCAGTAATGTTCGTCGATTTTTCATGGAATTTTACTCATTTCCCTTGAACTTCAACATTAGAGTATTTTACACTGAGTAAGGATAAACTTTTCAATCAATCAATCCGATTTTGTGCACAAAATCTTACATTCTATGGCATTGTTTCACGTAACGATTCCAGTTTTTGTCTTTGTAGCGTTTTCGATAAAATTTGGTTCTTCAATCGACCGCTATTCCAATTCCAGACAATCTCAAACGATCACAATGCTGAAAGGCGCATGAATGCAGTCGATCCAACAACAACAACGTCTCAACCAAACTTTGAAGGCGACAATTTGCTGGGACAAGCTTATGAGGAATCCGCACAGAGAGTTTTCAAACGACCAAATTCGAGAATTACTTGGGATCATATGAAATATATTCAAGAGGTTAGGTTATTCGATCATCTTTTGATACTCTGATAAGAATTATTAAGTACCTCTTGCAATTAGTTTGAAACTATTTCGAGTGTGAGTGCATTCTTCAAGATACCACGTATTGGTATTCAACGAATCTACGAGAAACGTGGCGATCGATCACGGCCGAATGCATGGCGACGATATGGTGCATTGATGAAACTGCATGAAATTGGTGGTTGGGCTTCGAAAATCGGTATTTCTTGATCTCGATTTCCATTTGTGCACTTCCCTGAAGTTTCAGCCTTTTCATTGTCTTGAAAACATTTTCATTGTTTTGATGCGGAATCCGCAAGATTTGACGTAGTGCTGTGATTGTTGTTCCATCGAATATGCTTCTTCACCAAAATGAATTCACCATGTCCGAATATATTTACCCACCCATACACCAGACGTTCTTGCGCTTTGACAAATTTTCTATTTACGGATTAGTTTATCCGTTAGCCGTATTGAATCTGTTCATGTCACACAGAAAATTTCTCATGCTTTTTTTTCAACATTCACTGTATTGTCTGACTAGCGAGCATTTTTTATTCTCTTCTCTTTGCCCTCTGTCGATCGTTGCAATCTTTATATGCACATTCTATGAGATT